TAAATCCATGTCTGAGGTGGGCCGAGTAGAGACATGGTGCCGGATAGGATTGCACGAGGGAGATACCGCCGTTACGTGAGCGTGTGACTTCGGTCCGACCCTATGACRCGCGAGTTGGCCGGCTCACGTCAAGGGATCGCTCTCGGGATCGGTAGGCCAGCGACGATGGCAGCATGGGATCAACCTCTCTTTCGACATGAGGGTAGGAGGAGATACGCCAGGGGGCGGTTCTCTTCTAGGCCTGTCTCTTATACACATCTAGATGTGTATAAGAGACAGGTCTTTCGACATGAGGGTAGGAGGAGATACGCCAGGGGGCGGTTCTCTTCTAGGCCTGTTGACGTCGTCAGGGATATAGGCGGGTCCCGTGGAGGCCTGTCGTAGGGATCTATGAGCTCATCAGTCGGGCTGAGCTATACCACGTCTGAGCGAGTACACTTCCATCTCTTTGTTGATTAGTGAGATTGATGGAGGGTTGAAAAATGAGCATTTTGCGGAGAGAACTTATCTCTCGGAAGTAAGRAGTGAGCTTAATATTCCTTAGAGAAAGATGGGGGATGAGAGTCCCGGAGAAGGAGAAAAAAAGACGACGGGAGTAGGAGAAAGGTGGAGTCGAGAGTTTGAAAACAGACCTCCTCATGTAAAGGCGGCAACTGGTGTGAGGATCYCTGAAGGGGAAACTTGGCAAAATGGACGATATGAGYCACCATGCAGACCAGACCCATATGATATGGCATGCGGACCGTTGTACAACTCAATGTTTTACCAATCACCGTACTTCGGCCAACCTTTATGTTTCACAKGACATTAGGTAACAGAGTTTCTGAATGASTGGGAAGTTTAYGCCTTGAGAGTGGGTTGGACTGATCGGGAAGCGATAATGGGATCCATTAATCACACCGATCTCAAACTAGACAAAGACGTGCGTGCTGCTATACCTGAGGATTGGAAGTGGGCAACCTTCAGAGAACGATTGTCTCGAGCCTTTGCATGTGACGACATCTTCTACTCGGTCGAGGACTTAAAGGAGATAAAGAAGGAGGAAGGAGAGACGTTAGTGGCGTTTGCGAGACGCTTTGAGACGACATCTGAACTATTGATAGAAAATGGGTTTCTGGGTGAGATAGAACGATGCGGTATATTCATAGGGATTCTACCTATCGAGAGAAGAGAGTTTGTTATGGAGAACACACCCACTAAAAGGGTGTCGTTCGCTCAGACAAAGGCATTGGCTTTGCAGATTGGGGGACCGGATGCCAAAACTCATCTACGAGGGGTGTTGGAGAAACTAGGGAAAGGAGTACCCGGAAGTCATTTAGAAAAACAATTCGGTGATGAGGATGGAAGACAGTTCATGCCGCCTGACAAAACTAAAGTAAGTAGAGATAGTGGGGAATGGAAAGGAGGAAACCGTGGCGACTGGAAGAACGACGACGATAAGGGATTTCAGGATAGGGGTTGGAGGAGTAAAGAAGAAGAGGAAAAACGAAGGAGATCATATAGCGAAGGATGGGAAACGGTCGAGGAGATTGAAACCCTAAGGGATGAACGAGAAAGGATGAAGAGAATGAAGGATGTCTTACCTCGAAGGAGCGCGGAATCGTTGGAGAATCCCTTACAACAAGAGCCTCAAGACAGACGGCGGAAAGACCCTGAGAAAACCGTCGAGCGGAATGAGAGAAGAAAGATCAAATGCGCAAATGATGAGAAAAATATATCATGCGGACCTTCTACGAAGATGAATACTGACGTTAAGACAGGAACAACCCAGGAGGTGATTCAGGAAATTCAGGGAGAAATCTGGGTGTCGAGTATCAGGTTTGAGGAGAACCGGTATACAGAAGAAAATGAGAAGGAAGATACACTCTGCCGAACTTCTACGGAGATGAATATTGGCATTAAAGCGAGGACAGCCGAAGAGCTAGAGCAAAGAAAGTTATGGGTATCAAGTTTCCGGTCTGAGGAGGACCTAGACCCGAATGATAGTTTGACGGTTGGGGTTTCCAGTATTCAGTTCGAGAGTTGCAAGGAGGATTCTGATGCAGCTCTAATGTGTGCTAAGAAAGTGAGTGAGGAATCAGATAAAAATGAAGCCGATAATACTAGCCTTGATAATAAAGTCTCGCCGAGAGGCAAATGACCGAAGGTTATTCAGGGAACATGGGTAGATCAAACCACGACACTGGAAGTGAAACCAAAGATTGAGAAATGCGGACGTCTGAAGAAGACTCGCGATACTCATAGCAAGGGAACAGGGGATTCAAACACAAGCTATGAGTTTGCCCTAGCGTTTAAGTCTGTAGAGCCGGATATCATCTATGAGCTGGCTCAACTTTCCGAGACCATCGAGTCGGGCTATAGCTATGAGTTGGCGCAACTGTTTGGGACCATTAAAGAGGATGACGATTATGACTTAGCTCAACTCTTTGAGGCCTCCGAATCGGATATCGACTATAGGTTTACCCAACTGTTTGAGACCGTCGATACATATGAAAACAATGTTGAGAACTCTCTAGAGATAACAATGAGCCGTAATCTCGCAGCCACGAAAGATATCGAGGGCTCCGAATGGATCAATGCAAGTTAATAAGTAAGTGCGATGTGATTAGTATTGAGGGAGAATTCGTTGAGAACTGTTTGGCGGGTCAGCAGAGTGATAACCCACTCGCGTTTGACCAAGAAGGTGAAGAAAGGACTGTGATGGAAGTGAAAATTATTACGGATGCCGACAGTCCAGAAAACTTGTCGATGAGAATTATGAAAATGTCAGGGCTTGAAGAGAGATTGGAAGCGGAGAAACTGGCTGTGGATGTGAAGAGGTTCGAGGACAAGGCCTTGGTCACGACTGAAAATTGCGTAGTAGGTTCGGGAATTGTGGTCGAGACGCGAGATTGGAATGCGGACTTGGGTCTTTTTTTCCTCTTGCTGCTGACCCTTATCTCTGCGTGTGCTCGTGCATGCTGTAGCAGGTGCAACTACTCTAGCTTCACACAATCAGTTTACGACGTTTTCATAATTTGTTGCCACTTTGTCTTCGGCCTCTATGGTGTTGGGAAGGGGGGACTATACTCCTTGGTGGGGATATGGATCCGTCTGAGCCTTTCGTGCGGGGTTTTTCCTACGAAGCCCACAAAGCCTTTCTATACTCCCTTGATGCTCTCATGGAGCGGATGGAGACGAGATGAGAGGAGGACGAAGGCGCTCGAGAACGAGGGGGGTGGACCTAAAAGGTTTAAAAACCTGACATTGAAAGGGGGAGGCGGTCTACCATTTATTACACTGATAAAGTCGACCAGAAAGCGTAGAAGCGGGGGTAGACCCTACTTCCACAAGTGGCGAGACAAAACCAAAGCCCGTTGGAGCCTGACAACGCGGGAGTGGTTGAGAGAACAAGCCAGGGATAAAAAGCGGAAAGCAAAAAGAAACGAAGGGACACGTGGATGAGGTCCCCACTCTGGCCGACTTCGCGGCCTTCCTTTAGGACCGCTTCGGCGCTCGTCATGACGCCACCGACGTCTTAGACCGCGTCACCCAGACCAGATGGTCCGGGTCCTCTGTACCGGCTGACCTTGAGCATCACATCCGGGTGTTTCAGGATGCTCGCCTTGTTTGTGACGAGACGTTCCTACCGGAGGTCACACTCACCGACCGGTTCCTTGTCAGCCTGCCGACTGACTACCGCCTAGTGCTATGGAGGCAGTCATTCTCTTCCGCGTAGCAGGCATACAAGGTTGCACGTCAGTACCAGAGGATGTGCAGTCGCTTCTCCGTCGCCCCATCCTCTTCGCGGCCAGCCGCCACCTCCCAGTCTCAGAGTACCACCCGAGGCCGCTCCTCGTTTGCTGGTCATTTTCGTACCCCGGCTCGACCTGAAGCGCCATTCTCTCGGCACTGGAGTTCTCTCGAGTATGAAGAGGACGCCTCAGCCGAGCTCGATCCTACCATTGGTGACGCCTCCGAGGACATCGAGCTTCGGGACATCATCCAATACCACTTGGATGACGACACTGTCCCAATGGTTGAGCGCCTGCTGATGGCCATGTCCTCCATGGGTTGAAGAAGCGGTTGTCTGCCAGATGGTCAAACAACTCATCCGCGCGGGGCATGGGATAAATGTTCTTAACCGTGTAACGGCTAAGGCCACGGTAGTCGATGCAGAGGCTGAGAGTTCCATCCGCTTTGCGAGTAAAGAGGACAGGTGTACCCCAAGGGGAGTTACTGGGTTTAATGAAACCCAGTCGAAGGAGCTCTTCGAGCTGACGCTTGAGTTCCACCGCCTCTGGGATCGAGATTCAGTACGGTGCCTGATGGTGAACACGATAGTCAGACACGAGTTGGATAGAATGCTCAACACCACGCATTGGGTGAATCCCGCTGTATGAGAACTACGGGGGAAAAACGTCGCGGTACTCTCGAATCAGGTCGCGAACGGCCGACTCTAAGTCTGTCGTGAACTGTGTGAGTTCCTCAGCGTCTGCGTCGGCACGAGACGTATGTGTGGACTCGACAGTTGACGGCGCAGGGACTTGGGACGTGGAGAAGGTATCCGCAGGCTGACGGGTGGACGTAGAGATGGGAGCCGCGAAGATGGAGGAAGGGTCAGGGGGATTGTGCTCCAGATAGATGAGCTCAACCTCGGAACAAAGTGGATCATAGCGAAGAAGATCCATGACGTTCACTGAGTAGAACATGGCGTCCTCCTGTCGTATGAAGTGAGCAAACTGGGGAGGGGAAGTAAAGGCGATGTCGGAGTGAGACCCTGAGGGACGAGGGTCCCGGGGAGGTAGGTCGGGAGGAGTGTCCCTCGTGGTTCCAATGAAGGGGACACGATGGGTCTGACCACACTTCGTTTTGAGAACGAGTGTCTCGGTCGCCCATTCAGCCTTTGTGCTACGGAACCGGCGAGACCAGGGAGTGCCGAGGATAAAGTCGTACCCACTTTCCAACACGTCGAAGTATGCGGAGGAATTGTAGCGCCGAGGCGCCTGAGTACTATCCGGTGGCTGGAGGGTGAGGGAGAAGTGGAGGTCGGGCCGTCTGATCGAAGAAGCGTTGTGTCTTGTTATCTCTGAGGGTAACGGAGATAGGAGAGCGAGACCCAGAGGTAGCTAGGCGAGCTTCCTCAACCACTCGAGAGTGAACGAAATCTCTCTGCGAGCCAGAGTCTCATAAAGCGTGGTACACCCTCGTAGATGTCCCTAGGCGAATAGGGATGATGGGTAGGGTGCGATCAGGGTAAGAAAGTAGAGCGAGAAGACGACGCAGGACGTTGACGTGTCTCATGAGTCACTTCTGATGAGCCTGCAGAATGCTCAAGTTCAAGAGAGATGACACAACGTCATCACGAGTCGCCAGCTGAGCGCTACAACGGGCTATGCGAATGGCGCGATGCGTCGGAAGTCTCGGGGGAGAAGCGCTAGATGCAGCGGTCTGCTGGGAGGCAGACGATACCTCGACAGACGACGGGGCAGAGAGACCTGCGTGTGTCATGTCATGAGGATCCTCTGGATGGGTGGGCAAATCGCGACTCAGTGGTCGCGAAGCCGGCTGCGTGTGAGGCCTCAGACGTACACTGCACTGTGGCTAGCCGGGTGGGGCTGGCCGGGCGGGGCTGGTGGGGGACTGAGATCGACGCTGACGAGAAATGTCGGCGTAGTACCGATCGAGGGCGGTGTGGTATGGACACCGTGAGGAGGTGTGTCCATCCTGGCGGCAACGAAGGCAGCCGCGTGGGGCCTCGAGGACGGCACGCTCCTCGGGGGATAGAGCTCCGCGAGGAGGGACAAAACCCTGCGGGAGGTCTATCTGAGGAACTGTGGGTGTACGGGCACCAGCTTGTGCAACCCGACTGCGTGATCGATCTTCGTAGAGGTTACCACCAGATCGGCGTTGTCGCAGAGGATCAACCGAAGACTGTCTTCCGGTCGCCCTTCGGCCACTACGAGTTCACGGTGATGCCATTCGGCCTCACCAATGCACCCGCCACCTTCCAGACGGCGATGAACGAGATCTTCAGGGACATCCTTGAAGAATACGTTCTCGTATACCTGGACGACATCCTGGTCTACACTCGTATTTTAGAAGACCATATCAGACACCTCCGCGATGTCCTACAGCGCTTACGCAAGCATGACTTTTATGCAAAGCTCAGTAAGTGCCGCTTTGCCCAGCGCAAAGTGGACTTCTTAGGACACCATGTGTCTGACCAGGGTCTCCACATGGACGACGCGAAGATCACTGCTATTGCAGAGTGGCCCGTCCCCACATCTGCCAAGCAGCTTTGCAGTTTCCTAGGCCTCACCAACTACTATAGTAATTTTATCCAGGGATACGCTAGGTATTCCTACGTCCTTACCTCTACCCTCCTCCGGAAGAACCCGCCGTGGTTTTGGACACCCCTGTGCGAGGACGCCTTTCGCGCCCTCAAGAAGGCGGTAACATGTGACCGGTTCTTCGCCTTCCCGATTTTGATCGTCCGTTTATCGTCACCACCGATGCGTCAGATTTTGCAGTAGGAGTTGTCCTTTCTCTAGTGTTTCCCTCTCCTCCAGATTCACCTTACCCCCATGTTCCCCATTTCCCCCCCCCTCCTGCTGACACTCTCGACTGACGCCTACTCTCCCACCACTTCCCTCCACTGACAGTCCGCCTATTACTTACTCCCCGACCATCGCGGAGGATGGGACTGTCGAGGCTCATGCTGGGGATTGCCCAATCGCTTTCTACTCCCGTCAACTACTGCTTGCCGAGATAAACTACACTGCCGATGAATGTGCGGTTCTCGAAGTAGTTTATGCTACCCGGCATTGGCGTCATTATCTGCACGGGGCGCCCTTCACGGTGCGCACGGACAACTCAGTTGTCCAGACTTTCCTCACGAAGCTTAAGCTTTCCCCTCGACAGGCACGCTAGTGGCGTGACTTATCCGAGTTCAGTTTCACCACTCAGCCCATCAAGGGTGAAACAAACCGCGTCGCCGATGCCTTGTCCCGCCGTCCTGATCACAATTAGGAACCCATCCATCTTGCTGCCATCTCCATCACTACTATTGATCAGTCGGTGATCGACGCGTATCGCACTCAGTACCGCCACTGCCCCGATTATCGTGTCCTCCACGCGACACTCCGGAGTGGCAAGATCGTTCCTTCCCACTCCCCGGGGAGAACGGCCTCGTGTACTGGCATGGCAGATCTGGTCAGCTAGAACCACGTATCTGCGTTCCCTCCACCGGACAACTTCGCGTCCAGGCTGTAGCAGAGTTCCATGACAAGGCTGTTGCCGGTCATATGGGTTTCCACAAGACGTTGGCTCGTGTTTGTCGCCTATATGTCTGACCGAAGTCCAATGACTTTGTCAAAGCCTACATCCAGGAGTGTCCTACCTGCCAAGAGATGAACAGTGCGAACCACCTTCCGTATGGGCTACTTCAGCTCCTACCCATACCTGAGCGTCGTTGGCAGTCCATCTCGATGGATTTCATTGGTCCCCTCCACGCACCCACTAAGCGCGGTCATGATGCTATCTTGGTCGTTGTCGATCGCTTCACGAAGCGTGCACGTTTTGTCCCGTGCCGCTATCGCATTAGCGCTCGTGAGGTCGCCGACATCATCTTCGACGGAGTCGTGAGAGATCAGGGCTTACCTCAGAGCATCATCTCCAACCGTGACCCGCGCTTTACCAGCACATTCTAGCGACGCCTTCACGAGGTGTACCGATCCCAGCTCCACTTCTCATCGTCTTACCACCCTCAGACAGATGGTCAGACTGAGGTCACCAAGAAAACTCTTGGTAATATCCTCCGAAAGTTTCTTAGGGATGACCAGCAGTGGGACTTACACTTAGCCCACGCGGAGATTGCGTACAACCACGCTGTTTCGCCAGCCACGGGGATGTCGCCATTCTATTACGACCTCGGCTACCACCCTCGCGTACCCGCGGATTTCCTATGACCATCGCGGTTGCGCCCAGACACTTGTTGCCCTGTGCTTGACGACTGGATCGCCCACATGGCGGCGATTATGAAGCGTGCACACGAGAGTTTAGCCTACTCCCAGACTCGCGTGGCCGCACAAGCAAACCGATCACGAATGGATCATCCATTCAAAGTCGGTGACGATGTGCTCGTCGACGCACGCCACTTACAGCTCGAAGCAGATACGCTTCGCAAGTTCAGGCGTCGTTTCTTCGGTTCATGCTGCATCCTTCAGCCGTCAGTTTTGATACTGCCTCTAGTCCAGTCAGCTTCCGTGTGAAGCTACCTGATTATCTTTGACAGACTCGCGTGCACGATGTTTACCACGTTTCCTTGCTGCGTCCCTATCGCAGACCGTCTGAGCGCTTCGCCGGACGCCCTTATGAGCGCTCTCCACCTATCATGGTGGACGGTCACGAGGAGTTTGTTGTTTCTGACATCGTATCACGCCGAGTTACCGGCGATACCCCTCCACGCATCGAGTACCTTGTGCGTTGGAAGGGCTACCTGATGAGGAGGCTACTTGGGAGCCCCTCGAGCGCTTGCAGCACGTCAGGATGTTGGTGCGTGCATATGATCGTGCTCGTTGTGCTGAGACATCTGCTTCTACTCAGCCGACTGACCCTCTTCCTCCTCCTCCAGCTGAGGAGATTGTTGAGGACGAGCCCGCTCCCTCTGAGGTCGTTCCTCGGCCGCAGACGGTCGCCTCCGAGCGTCCATAGCGCACTCATCGTTGCCCTTCGCTTTATGATGACTGACACTCTTATCCTCTATTTTTCCCCACTGACTCACACCATCAGGTACTCCATCATCAACTCTTCTTCAGGATGTCAGCGTTTTGCGGCTCTGCTTCGACATCGACTCGACTGCTACTTCATCGACGTCATCGACCACTTCGACGACTTCAGTTACCTTATCGGCTTCAGCTACTTTGGACGTGACTACTTCACGCCACCACCCTACCCTGTACATTCCCTTGCATCTGTCGCATGATGGTTCTCACTTATCTGGGTCTCTTTGAGTTGGGCTCTCCCTTGGTATCGCATAGGCATTGAGACCGTAGCGTTATCTTGGCTTCCTTGCTCCCGGATCTAGCTCCCTCCTCCCCCAGTCAGTGAGTTGTGTGCATGCTTCCCTCACCCACTGCCCCCATCACCCTCTTGTCGGCCCTTGCATGCCTTCAGTTAGGCATATCTCAACCCTATTCCAGGTTCCCCTCTTTTTCATGGTCGACCCTGCATGGTGTCACCCTTTTGTTGAGCATTACCCGCCTTGATGATCTATCTGTTAGGGTCATTGGTTTTGTTTCGCTACCACTCTCCCACCTTCAGCCTGATGACCTATCCCATCTTCATGTGTGACTGCCCTTAGGAGTTTCGATTCTTAGGTTGTATTCACCCCCTCTGAGACCATCCCACTCTTAGTGGTTCAGCGACATGACTTTATCTTGTGACATATTGCTCTTTTCCTTTCAGCACTGAGGTCACTGCCTCCAGAACTTTAGGATTGTATCATACTACATTTCATTTTCTGTTGTTAGTTAGGATATGTGTACCAGACATTTGCTTTTCTTTTGACATTATGTAGCTTAGGATACATCGCATGGACTCCGCATGGAGCTTGCTCTGCATCCTAGATTTCTCAGCTTTCTTTATTGCAGAGTTCCGCTGCTTTTGCGGATAGCATGTTTATGGCTCTTGTGATCCATTATAGGTCTGAGGATCGTGCAGCGGGCCTTCATCTGCCCTGGCCTACAGCCAGGGCCTATTTGGCTATTTGCGCAGTTCGGCCTGTGGGACCAGACCGTGGTCTGACCCTACAGGCCGTGTGCTGTTCTAGTCCTGCTCGGTACCACTGTCGGTACCAGGCCAGTCCAGTCCAGTCAGTCAGTCCGCTGGGGGTATACCCCAGCAGTTGTCTGTTTTTTGCGATTCTTCACTTTCGCAGATATTGGAGTATGTGCGTGTGGAGTCTGCGTCGGAGCTGCGCTGTCCCTTCCAGCTCCATCTGTATCTCCTCCTTCGTCCACCCTTCTTCTCCATCCTGTCAGACCGCCATCCCGGCAGGTCTGGTACATAAAATTTCTCTACTCTGTGGAGTCTGGGGAGTCTCTTTCTCAGATCCTGCGGCTTTAGCCACGTCTGGTTGTTCTCATCCCAGATATGACTAACGAGGTAAGCCCCTCTCTCTATCCAGGATCTCGCAAATTGGCCGGGTCCACTACCTGTTGCAAATGGCTGATTGGACTATTGACAGATTAACGTATTATCAAACAGACATTAGTTCAGGATTTATAGCTTGGTATTAGGCTCCTTCAGTCTCTCCGGTTTAATTTCATTCAAAGTTCTTAGAATTCTTGCACATACTCTCGACTGAATTCTACGTTTGGACAAATTAGTCTGCACAATGCAGACCCATACACTTTTGGCGTCTCGAAGGGACCATTCCTTCATTAATATATATTTAGTCAGAATGATCCATTGTTTTTGCTAAGATCTAAATAAAGCCTTTATTAACCATTTTATCAGCAACGTCATATTCTGGTCCCTTGGGTCCAAAAGACCCAGTCCCCCTTGAGATCGGGGTAGGCAGATGAGATCCCAAGCCGCCTTGATGATAAATTCTTCTAGGTCTTCATTGGCTGGTTTCCACAGATACCGAGCTGCAGTTTTTTTGATGGTCGAGTATGTCTTGTCTCCCAACCAGTGGACCGTCAAGGGGAACCAAATAATTGAGAATGTCGTTGCCGTCAGCACCAAAGCACGCCCAAAAAGTGATAGCTTATGGTTTCTTACCCATCCTTAAACTCTGGCGCCCACCTTCTCTTGTACAATCTTGTCTTGAGTATCTACATAATTAGAGAGAGAAACTTGCACCCCAAGTAGTCTTTCTGAGCTTTCCACAGGGACCTGTTTCAAGCCCCGGTTTACACACAGCGTATAAGGTGCAGGAAGGAGATATACAGATTTATCCCAGTTTATTGTAGCCTCCGACAATACACAGTACTGATCTAATACCTTCCGAAGTTCTACAAAGGAATTTTGGTTGTTTTCACATGACACCGTCAAATCGTCCGCAATCGCAGGTCCACTCCTCTGATTCTCGGGTTGTATCGTATATTATCGAGCAGAACCTCAAGTTAAATTACAAATAGCAGGGGGGCCAGTGAGCATCCCTGCCTCAAGGAGCATGATAAATTAAAATCCTTCGACAATCGGCCGTTGACTAACAAAGCTGAGGGAGCATCCACATATATTGCTTTTACACAGTTCAAGAATTGCGGCCCAAACCCCATTCTGCTTAGTGTGGTAAACACAAACGGCCAGCCCACTTTGTCATAAGCCTTCTCCATATCAAGGAGCAGCACGGCTATTTCTCTTTTCTCTGAAGCTATGACTTCCAGGGCCTGTAGCGTAGTCATTATATTATCAAAAATTGTCCGGTCTTTTACGAACGCCCCTTGTTCTAGACCAATAAGATTCAACAGAAAATCTGCTAATCGTAATGCCTGTGCTTTAGCAAGTACTTTATATACCATGTTTTATACTGAAATTTGACGATAATTCCTAACTTCCGACTTACTCCCTTTTTTGTATAGCAATGAGATATACCCCTTCCGAAAACCTTCCGGGAGGCACCCGCCGTTCTTATATTATTATAGATCTCACACAGGAAAGGGCCAAAACCTTCCCAACATTCTATGAAAATTTCAACCAGGAGCCCATCGATTCCGGGGCATTTCCCTTTTGCCATTTGTTTGGCAGCTTTTGCCAACTCAATCGTTGTGAATGGACTAT